ACATCCGACCTCAAAGTTACAAAGAACGTCTTTCCAATTTCGACACTCTGAAAACGGATAAAATCCAGTTGCAGGATCTCATTCGCAATTGTAATCATCTGAAATATAAGTTTCTTGGTGTATTTGCAGCCGACAATTTTCCACCTCACATCCCAAACAATATCTTTATGATTGTGAACACTTCAAACTCAGATTCTCTGGGGACACATTGGATTGTGATATACAACAGTAGAAATGTTTTATACTATGCTGATCCTCTCGGTTTTCCTCTCTGGCAGTACAATTATCTATATAAACGATTGAACGAGATTTTTCATAAAGTCACTGAGTTGATGACGAATTTTCCCCATGCAATACTCAAACTCTACCATTTGATTTATGATAAAAACTTGGTGCTGCTCCTGACTTTGTTTACATAAATGATCATTTTGAAAATTTTTCTAATTCACATGCTTTCCCATTAACTAACTGTTTAATATGGTTTATTTGTACGCTTTTCAATTGAATTTTGAACACTACATTATTTTAGTAAATGACATTTTTACCCAAATGTTAACTGAATAGCAATAATCCGAGAATTTAGGCTACTATCAAGGTAAAAAAACAATCTATGAGGGATATCACCATACAAGCAACTGGGGCCTCCTTTCAGAACAATTTCCGGAGGGTTTCGAAATGACGCCCTTCGGCTGAGAGTCGAGCTCCGTGCTTTTTCCTCTACTCGGACCCCAAGAAATTTTATTTCTTTTAGTAAATGACATTTTTACCCAAATGTTAACTGAATAGAAAAAATCCGAGAAGTTAGGCTACTATCAAAGTAAAAAAAATCAATCTACTGGGGATATCACCATACAAGCAATTGGGGCCTCCTTTCAGTACAATATCCGGAGGGTTTCGAAATGACTCGGACCCCTCTACTCGGACCCCAAGAAATTTTATACTGTCTTCAATTTTATAGTAACAAGTTAAGTACAAGTTTTGACATCATTTATACATAAAAACAGATCAAACAAACACAATAATTGAACGTTTTCTAACCCATATGCTTTTTCATTAAACTACCATTTAAATCTACATGACTGTTTTCGTATACATTTCAATCAAGTTATCAATGATATTAAGCTTCTGCTTTCATATACATCAATGATTCTATCTTGAAACATTTTCTAACTCACGTGCTTTCTCATTAACTGCTAATTTTAAATAATTAACTGGTTTTATTCAAAATGTTTGTTTTTTATATAACTGTTAACTGTTATTTTATCCAATTGTTCTCTGGAGTGATTTGAGAACTTTTATATTGGAGTTGACCTCAAACTGCTTTTGGTGCCTTCAAACGACACTTGTTTTAGAAGATTGTGTGCATAATTCAACCGTTTCATTTAATAACCAATTTCACCAAGACCATAGAGTTTGTAGAAACATTGAAAGAACCAATTCGCAAAGACCTTCAACAGCAAAACGCATTGCACAATTTTAGTTCAGTTGGAGTACAATAAAGCTTGTCGATCTATTGGCGGCGAAAAGAAAGAATATATCGCCTCAATGCATAGAACGGTTTTGTTTTTAATCAACACAATTTTCACGTACAGATAATTAAGTATAAAAATTATCCATATGGATCATTAGGGATGATTAATTTTACTTAGGGATCATTTAGTTATTCAAATTAGTTATTCAAAGAAAACTATTCTATCCAAACAAAACGCATGTAATCTGCATCTTGTTACAATGCCCGTTTGCTAGTCGCAAGCGTAAACACTGAATCTATGATGTTTACCTACTTTCCCATTTAGAAATTGAGGCGAAAGGAACCTACTTTCTGGATACAATTTTGGTTCCAATTTTTGCTCAACGAATTGCCTCATAGTGCTGGCAAGAAAATTGCATACATTTTTAGAGCTTTAGTGTACCCATCTTTAGCAAGGAATCTTTAGCTTCAGATTTCCTGATGACAACTCAATGCGTAATTCGGATCATTTTAACTATCTTGCCTTTCTGCAAGAGGGGAGCCAATTCTTCGAAAGGCTTGGATGAAAACTACTGAGATATCCCTCACCAAAAGGAATGCAACAAAACGCATTTTGAGGAGAAACACAAAGCCTATCGTATCAGCATATGCGCAGTTCCATTCCGTTACAAGTTGGAAATTCGTTACGAGGTACTACAAGGGGGATTAACAAGGTCCCGTAATTCATCTTTTCATTGCTGCATCCGCTTTTAGTTAACGAACTTAGCGAAACGGAATTTCTTTGGTTTTTGATAATACCACTTGTCTTTTTGATTTAGAGTTAACTTGTACTTTTCACAGACTCATGGTAGGTGAGGCTTTCATTGCTCTGATCGACGAATGGATTTATGTTTTTTTTTCATTCAATAGTTGATATGTTTAAGACAAAGGTGCTTTCTGTCAATCAAGAGGACTGGCTATCATGACGAACCTCAAATTTAGTTTTTGTAGAGCCTTAAAAACTTTTCAATTTCTTTACCTGGCCTTAAATTGCAAAATGAATTCTTTATATTCTTAACATGCTCAAATACAGAGAGCCTACTGACGAGCGTTAACTTTGAGATCGCCACATGGTGACTTTGATCCCCTGCTATGAAAATTAAAGTCTGCCAGGATAACATCTCACTCGAGTTCTATCTTCAGGTCTACCACAGTCTGATGGATTTTGGCTGCAATGATGGTTCAGATGCAAAATTATGGCTTTGTGTTGCAAAACAGTTTCGTTTAACAAAAATACTGTCTGAAAAAGAGTAGTGACTTTTGCACTTTCGATAATCGATAGTGAAGTTGACCTTTCTTTTAACGAAAGAAGAAACTGAACTTGAAAAAAAAATCAAAGTAACATTACGAGGCCAAACTGGGCATTCTGTGCATTGTAAGCGGATTCCGCAACAGGCCATAATCAGATTTGTCGCGGATTCCGACAATTTGCTACTTTTCTCTGATCTTCTTCGCTGTTTTGGATTCCATAAACAAAAACCTAAAACACTGTACCGTTCAAATTCGCTCCAAAAATAGGCGAATTTGCGGAATCCACAACCGTACTGCGGAATTCAGAACAGTTTGTGGAATCCACACAAATAAGGAGACATTTGTATAGTTAAGTTGAGCTGTTGCGGATTCCGCAACAGTAAGCGTAATCTGCAACGTGTACGTGGATTCCGCAAGTTGAAAGTGGAATCCGCATTTTGTTTATGGATTCTGTTTACATATACGTATACGTGTAGTATAGCGTTTAAAATTATATCTTTTAACTACTGGTCAAGAGGAAAAAATAATCTCAATTACTACATTGAGCAACTACCAGTTGAAACGTTTGGTCTCAGTTCCTGTCAACCCAACTTCGATCTCAAATCCTGTCAACTTCGATCCCAAATACTGACCTACTGAATTTCGATCCCAAATACTGACCTACCGATCCCAGATACTGACCTAATTCGATGTGAACTTTGATCCCAAATACTGATGCAATCCCAAATACTGACCTAGTTCGGCGAGATGCTGTGCGTTGTGTTTCCAAACACTTTCAACCCATGGACTTCAAATATTTACTTTATTCGGCGTTACGCTTCCAAAATCAGTATTTGGGATTGACGCAATCCCAAATACTGACCTAATTTGGCGATATAATGTGTGAAGTGTTTCCATACAATCTCAACCCAATGACTACAAAGATTGAATTTATTCGACGTTATGCTTCCAAAATCAAAATTTGGCTTTGACGCAATCCCAAATACTGACCTAAGTTGGCGATATGCTGAGTGTTGTATTTCCATACTCTCTCAATCCAATGACTCCAAAAATTGAATTTATTCGACGTTATGAATTTATTCGACGTTTCCAAAATAATAAAAGCTGACATCCACCGATTTAGTTAACATATGTTTTAAGATTTGTTTGTGGATTCCGCTGACAAGGATTAAGTCCTTGCCTTTAAATTCCGCATTGCTATAGATAAGAATTCCAGCTCTAGCTTTCAATTGTTTATGCAAGTTCAGTAATAAACAAAACTCTGAATCCACTTACAGTTTGCGGAATCCGCTGACATTTGCGGATTCCGCTTAAAAATTCTGCGGATTCCACTTAGTTGCGGAATCCAGAACAACTAGCTATATTCTCTTGTTGCGGAATCCGCGGTACAACAAATAGGCCGACAAAATTTACGTTACAGGTATTTGTACGCGGAATCCACGGAAGTGTTGTAAGTGGAATCCACTGACATTTTGGAACATTTTAAAGGTTTGTCTATGGAATCCAGGAACATACAGACACAAAATTGTGCGCCTATCCAGTGCACAGTTTTGCCTCGTAATGAAAACTGCGAAAAAGCAAATTTCAGCGTGAACAAACTTGAATCTTTCTTGAAAAAATCATAACGACCTATTTAAGAGCCTTCAATGCGTTAATCGGCTGTTAGTTAAGCTGTACGCGTTCAATTCAAACCATCTAATGGCAATGGAAAAGTCACCTAACTACATTTTCCACCCATTTCTTAAAAAACAAACTTGGAGAATCGCAGAGCCCATGGTACTCTTCTTAATCATATGCACAGAGATTCAGAGTTTCACAATCGTGCGATTATCATTTTAGGAATTTGGTAACACTCGCAAAAACTTTTATGATATGTATAGATTTGTTTATAAATAAGTCAGGAAATCCGGAATTTTTCAAATAAAGGAAACCAACAACTATGTTCAAGCACTAAATTTTCAGACGAAAAAGTACTCGAAAACTTTTAATTTAGTTTATCAATTATGCTTCCGGAAAGTTAATTTCAACTAACTTATGGCAATCTGCGGCAAATAAACTTCGGTAAAAAAATTCAGTGGCTCAAGCAAAACAAGAGAGGGCATCGGATCCGATGATTTTTAGTTTTTATTTATTTTAGTCAAGGGTAATGTTTTTATTTACACAAAATTCAGAAAGATGACTCACTTGTAGCCAATTAGTTTCAGATCTTGTGAAAAACGGCCCACTGCGGCCACTGAACTGAAAAGCAAAATGAATTAATAAAAACGCTTAGGTTACAATACAAACACAAAGGTAGAAGAGATAAGTCAGTTTGTAGATCATTAATAACAACTATTGCAACTCGAAAATACACCAATCAGTTAGTCCGATCATTGGGGACTTCCTTCCTGTTTCCTCGATCCTTCCAATTCGACTTCCAATTCAGCAGTGCTACCTCATGTGAAGCCTCCGTAGTTTGTCACTCGTCCTCCGCGTCCTAAAAGCAAAGAATTCAATCAACTTCATTGTTTCGGACAAACCAATTTGGTTTCAAATTTAAACCGACAGTTGCAAAAAACTCCAATGAACAAGTGAACAAAAAATTTAGATTAAAAATTTCAACTTTCGATTTCGAAGAAAAAAGCTATCGTCTGGTAGGTAATTGAAACTATTTAAAAGACAATTTCTTTATAAAAAAATAGCCAATAGAAAGTTCGGCACAGGCGAGAACAAGCGAGGAAAAAGCAAAAAATAGGCAAAACAAAGTGAAACAAGGACAAGATTAAAAATTCACCTTGAGGAAACTTTTTTGTGGAGCCTATGAGTATCACTTTCTCACATCTGCTTCACGACTCCTTGTAACTTTACTAACACTAGCCACCAACAAAGCAGTTACAGATTCTATCAAATTGCCAATGCTATGCAGCAAAAATTCGACCAAAAAAATTGAAACTAATTCAATGTTCCGGATTTGAATCTCTGACCTGTCAATTAGGAGTCTCACCTCCTCGCATCTGCGCCACCATCGCCATGAAATAAACTAGCGGTCAAGCTAATGCTGGTTCCACATGTTTTATTTTTTTTTAATCATAATGTACTGCTACAGAAATGAGTTATTTTCAAAATTTTAAAAAATGGACTTTACGCAAAACCCTAAAACTTTATGCTTAAGTAGAGGATTGGTCACTTATTTAAAGGATAAAACTACTACTCACTCTTTCAATTGAAGTCTTTATCTCAGATTTGGCTGGTTGGGTTTCAAAAAACTGAAAAAGATTCTAAAAAACTATAAAATTCAAATTTTTAATTTTTCCTCAATACATAAACTTTTCTCTATTACGGAAAAGCCTCTTATGCGGAAAAAACTTATTCGCCCTTTTTTAGATTGAACCCTTAAAATCAGATTCAGCTATTAGTTTTCGAGAATAGTGATAACAAACGGTAAACATTTGAAAAAAAATTCTGAAATTTCCGAATTCCATATCAACTTTTCTGCAAAAAACTTAAGACGGTTCACGCAGGGAAATGTAAGCACCATGCTGAAAGAAATATCAACCTCAGAATCAGTAGGTTGGTTTTTGAAAAAAAAAAAGGTTTCAAAAAACGGACAAAATTTCACAAATTAGACATTTTCTAAGGCCCTTTATTTTTTCAAAACGCACGGCATGGCTGCTTGCGCAATGAAGATTCGCATACCTGAGGGTAGTTTTTGAGACTAAGTTACCCGAATTAAACTGAAAAATCTAACCAAAATGTCAAAAATGGGCTTGTTTGAGACCATAACTATTCTCTACCATATTAAAGGAATAGCCGTGATTTGTTCTTATGAAAGGGATAAACCCGATGATTTTTTCTTTTGATCGAAACTCTCTGTTTAGATTTGTGTAAAAACCATATGAGAAAATGAAAAAATTAGGAAAAATTCGAAACACTCAAAATTCCTCTACAAAAAATTTCGAAGGCCGTAGAACGCGGGCCAAAAAAGAGACGAAAGGGGCGAAAATATGCAGGCACATAGAAGAGCAGCCGGTTTTTCCATTGGTACCTTTTTGAGAATTAGTGCAGTAGTTTTCAAAGAAATTTTGAAAAAATTTCTACGAAAAAAGCTAAAATTTTCCAAAGCGTCGCAAAAATAACCAAAAATTCATACATTTTCATAATAACTGTTTCAAAATCAAAGCAGCAACATATGCTATTAAATTGCCTATGCTTAAATATGATTTAATAGCAATATACCAAAACTGGCACCAAATGAGCACTTTTATTTGCGACTTAGGTTGGAAAAAACTCTTCGTAATAATATACTACGCTCCGAATGTTTAAAAAGATTCAATCACGTTTTTTCGTTGTGTGTGCTTTGTTGTAATTGGAGAGCAAGCCAAAATTGGTTATTTCGGTTCATTGCATATCATTGAAAACGGTTCATTAAATATCAATTTGATTTCAGCGCACAATATTTGGATTCAAAATACCAAAACTGAATGAGAAAAGATAGGTAGGCAACTGACCTGGCGGAGGGTATTCTCCGCCTCTGGGTGGCATGGGAGGTCGTGCTCTCCTCATCGGCCCGCCTCCACCACTCATCCCCATCCCACCACACGCATCATATACCTCCACGTATCGATGTCCTGAAATGAAAATAAAACATGAAGTATTGAACAATCCAGTCAAGATTAGCCATGCTAAAGTTTTTCATTATTTTGAGCAATTTTATTTTTCATAAGCTACTTAACTTTTGGTTAATTAAAAAATCATTATTTCGTCTGGCCAACATGCTAGCTGGTTTATCTACCAGCAAAAATAACAGCGGAAACTGGGAAAACACAGGATTGCCTGGCAGTTGTAAATAATTCAATCCATTTTCCAGCTCACTTGGCGTGAAGGGAAAGTCCATGAAACACACTCTACATAGAGTCCTTTATTCGCGAAAGGATGACCGGTTTGCAGCTTAGGCATAATTATTTACTGCCAGAAAAATCTTACAACAACACTGTTGCCGCCCATTGGTAGTCTATAAGACTATGAAAAGAATGATATCTATATTCGTACTTATGTTCTGTTTGTTCAGTTTGATCGCACCCTCTAAGTCCTTGGGGGATGCGAGGGACACAAACACATCCTGCACTTTGCCACCCTTGTCTCTACACATCTCCACCCCAGTCACTTTGAGGCTGCCAAAAAACTAAAAACAACTCAACACATTAATTTTTAATCAAAGTTTTAGTCAATTATTTCAGTGAATTAAATGTTTTTGTTCGATCACTCTTCGAAGAGTGGGAGGAACTCTGAATTCGGCTCAATTTTTTCCAGCCAATTTTGACTGCCTCACAGAAATCTTGTAAAAAGTCATGTGTGGTATCACATAACAAAGCCAACTGAGGAAGTATAAAAGGAAAAGAGTACTAAACGCAAGTATACAGAAAAAAACACTGACTTTGTGAAAAAAACTCAACTTTCGAATTTCAAAGAAAAAATGAATGCCCTTTAAACTCATTGAATTTGTAGAACAGTTTAGGATAGGCACTTTTTTGATAACATTAAACCAACTTGAGAAAACTGGATCAATAGGTAAAGGTTTTATTCCGCTGGAAATAAACAAATTAAATTCCACTTTCGAAACTAGAAATCGTTCACGCTTTTTGGCGCCATTTTTTCACGATCGTATTTGGAGAAGTGCATACATACCCATGTGCATTGATAAATAAATTAGTATGCATGAATGCAAACCTTTAGTTATTAGAGCAAACCTCATCTTTCGAACTTCAAAGAAAAAAATAAATGCCCTTTAGCTCTTTGAATTTTTAGAACAATTTATAATTGACACTTTTCTGTTAACCTTAACACACATTGAGAAAACTGGAGCAATAGATAAAAATTTTATTCCGCTGAAAATCTAAATATTAACACTTTCGAAACTAGAAATCGTTCACGTTTTTTTTCGCGCCATTTCCTTGTTCGTATTTGGAGAGAGCTATTTACGTGACTTTCAGCAGATCAATTTCAATTAGGCTCAAAAATTGCATTTATTCCTAAGTGCCTTCATAAATGTATTAATAAATATCTCAATAGGTACTAGATAGCTCAATAGGTACTTGAGACAGGTTTATAATCACAGTTTGAATAATATGAAATCATAAAAGAGATTTGAAACGCCAAAATTTACAACATCAGAGCTCAAAAACTACAATCAAAGTGAAAATAGAATCTATAAAACTGAGGCATATAAGACGACTTTTTTCTAAAAAAAAGATATTGCGTACAATATTAAGGTGTTGCGGAGAACAGTTTTTGCTATTCAGATACAAGTCTAGAGCACCAACCCTAGTAACTTGCTTTCCTCGATAAGACTATGGTCACCCAAACGCTTTTCAAATTTCGACTTTTTTTGCAAAAATTTTTCTTGATACTCATATGAAATAAACCCATTGCTTAATTGATCCGGAAAAAAAACAACTAATTCCAGCACATTTGAAAAATATTTAACAAGCAAAACTGCATATCGTAGTCTTAACTTCACAATCAGTTCAACTAGCCATATTTCCTAAATAGGTCATCGTTTGAAAACCGTGCAGCAGTTATTTTGTCCTATGACTGTGGGTGCCAAAAATCAAGCCGAATCATAAAACTAATTACTTCGAGTAAAAAAAACTCAAATCAAACATCGTACAACTAAAAAAAAAGGTCTCACAAGACGTGAGCTGGTGTTTTTTTATAATACTTTTATGCTATCCTCATCATTCGTAGCTTTAAAAAAAATTAAGTTTTCGATTATTCCAAATAACACATTGTTCTCAGAACTTAGGACATTTTACCGAGTAAATCTCTGCGTTTGTGACATCAAACGGAGTTCCTCTCAGCTGTACTCTGAACTCTGCAATTGGGGGAGGATAGAAGGGTCTGGGGCCACCAAACGGAGGCGGAGGGGGAGGAGGATACCACTCATCGTCTAAAACAACATACATAGTGATAGCTTGAACACTTGAACGTTGCACAAGAACGAGATAATTTTTTTTACCTTCATAGTTGTAGACTTCAACGTAGCGTCGACCTGAAACAACCAAATCAATATACTTTAATCTCAAAATTTGATAGAAAGAATGGTGGAAATAAAAATTATTGTCATATTATCAAAGAAAACGATGTTGCGATTAGCTAGAAATTAAACTTTATGGAAAACACGTCCAAAATGACGGTCAATATTTAACCAAATATGAAAAAGCGAGATGTTCGAATAACAGAGTTTGAGCTGATTTGATTTTGAAACACAGAGGTGAAGCGGAGAGATACAATACAAACAAATAACATAAGATGAAAAAAAATGAAAAACGTTGAAAAAAACAATGTCTCGATAAAAAAGCTCTCTGGGCAAACTTGCCAAGCAAGATAATTGATTATTAAGTTAGCAACGGAACAAAACGTACGAAGCCGCCAACTTTTGAGCAGACACCAGTTGAGCCGAAATGGATCTGTAAAACGAAAACTTTATCAAGTTTTAAGTCTACCCTGAAAATTCACTTCATGAACAACACTTGCAACTACAATGAAACTTGCTTGCAGCAAAGAGAAATCTGTGATGTTGCGCCTGAGCCGAAAAAACTTGAGCAGGCAAACGAATGTCCCATAATGAATCTTTCACCGGAAAATCAATTTCTTACATACTGGAAAAAAAAACAAGGCTCGTCCGAGACTCGAAAACAAGACCGTAGGTAACTAAGGCGACCGCATTACTTCCAGTTCAAAAGGGAAGGAAACTGGAAGTTGTTAAAGTTCAATCATACAGCAAGTTCAATTTCTTACAGATTTGTAAAAGTTCTTTACGGGTAAAAGTCTTGCGTAAAGATTGATTGCTTACCTAAGTTCTGCTTGTGGCGACTAAGTGCCAGCTGGTGGTCTCTCTCGTTGCCAAACTCCACCACACAGTCCGTTATTCTGCCATTGTTGTCCCGCACAAACTCCAGAAACAGCACTTCGGCCGGGTGGAAGAACTAAATAGGAAAAACAAGCTCACACCCTTCAAGATTCCTCGTACGCTTTTCACATGAAAAATACAAACACACAATTAAGCTAAGCTCATAACGTAGCAATACAAAATTTTAATTGAATTGACTGAATCCCATTTGAATTATCTCCCAGCATTCCACTGTTATTTTGTTGAGCGAGCTCTTTTTTGCGACTTAAGGCCGCCCGTTTTTTAACGTCTAGAATTTTAACTACATTGTTGAGGTACCACTTCTGCAGCCATATTGGTGAGGCTGTGGTAGAACTGAAGCTAGAGGTCAAGTGATATCTCGTCCTCACACACTATCATTGCCATGGCATGAAATCGAATACACTACACGATCTGAACATCTCAAAGTGAACGCCGCCTTACCTCTGTGCGAAGTGCGTGGATTGTGTTGTGTAAGTATTCGAAACAGATGTCAAAAATTCCCACAAACCTGTACGATATCGTGTCTCGTTGATTCATATGGCAGTCCTTGCATCTTCACCTTGAACCCTGGGCCAGGCGGCGGTCCATAGCCTGGGGAAAAAATTACCTTCACATCGCGATAATTAAACTTTCAAGCGCGATCAAACTGATCAACAAGTAGACAGATCAAAATAACGTCAGTCTCTTTATTTGCTCAAACGATTGAAATAAACTGACATGTGAACAAAGATAGCCGACAGACAGTTGGAAAAAAGTCAATGAACGCAAATAAACAGAAAAACTTCAACATTCGGATTTGAAAGAAAAAATAGATGCCCTTAAAGCTCATTAAATTTCTAGAACAATTCATGATGAAAACTTTTTTGTTAAAATTAACCCAATTTGAGAAAACTGGATCAATAAGTCAATTTTTTTTATTTCGCTAGGAAATCTGAAAATTAAACTGCGAAAAAGAAAATTTGAGTCTAAACAAATCTCAGAACTTTTCCTAAAAAACCAAAAAAAACAGCAGCACCTATATAAGAGTCTGACTTACTTTCATCGACTCTTGAAGGTTTTATAAAAAAAACACTTCAAATATTCTGCAAAAAAATTTTCTTCATTTTTTGTGTGCTTTTAATTTTTACTTTCTTTCTAAGCGATTGTATAATTATCGAATCACACCCGCACTGAAGCGACGCTCATCGACTCTGTCATACCGGAGGGTATGATGTTCTAATACTTGAATCCGAATGGATCGATAAACCTTTAATTCTAAGTCGGAGCGAAAGAAACGACTAGTTGACAGATAACATTTATTCAACTCTCTTTTCTTATTGCAGTTAGAGTTCGTTCTCTCTGTCTACCAAGGTCAAGTGACCAGCCATCTAGGCGTTAAACATAAGATTGTTAATAATATAAATAACATATATAAGGATAGTTTGTCGATCCAGACCGGATGACTTTCCCCCTTGACAACAAAAATTTATAAACTATTGTTTTGTAAATTGAGTTTTTAAAGTCCCCTTAGGACTGATAGATTGAGTTTTATAGTCCCGGTAGGACTCTTTTGGCATTACTTTTCAGGTTGTGTATTCTGCTTGGCAGTTTCTTCTCCCTGGCTCTCGTGTTCCTCCTCGTCATCATTCTGGTCGTCATCCACTCCACCTTCTGGGCAAATTTTTGTGTTGATAAATAAAATATCGTTATTCGTGTCGGTTGGCTCATCTTCATTTGGCGGCGAAATTAAATCTACAACTTCAGTTTGATTGATCTTGCTTTTCGGACTAATTGCTTCTATTAGTTTCATGCATGACTTGAATTGGGGAGTTGTTTCAGTAAAGCCCATTTCCTGAATGAGAGATTTTAGGCTGGGACAAGCGTTTTCTTGTCTAGCCGGTGGTGAGTCGATTTGAAATCTAATTGATTGTTTTGTTTCTTCGTTTTGCTTATCTTCGATCGCGTTATTAGGCACCGGGTTTCCAAAAGCATGAGAAAGCGCCGATTGGCGGTTTCGTGTTGACTTTCTCAATGGTTCCGGTGCATTCGTTGGAGGAGTTTGTTTTTTGTTTTGCCGCTTTGGTGATGGGGCAATGTCTTCAGAGGAATCCGATGATTGATCGTCCTCTTCATGTTTGTCAGAGCTTGGTGTTGCTGTTTCGTTGGCCTGCGGAGTCCCAACCGGAATTTCTGCTTGGAGACTCATCCCACTTGTTTGTAATCTCCTTGCGGGTCGCCCGCCGGTCCGTTTCCCCGTTGCTTTTGTTTTTCTTTTTGCCGGACTATTGAATTTTCCTTGTACGTGCATTCTTACCTTTTGAGTCAATTTCTTCGGGAGGCCAGTTTTTTCGTCTTCCTTGAACATCGGGTGTTGGGGAGCGGTAGGATTCTCGATGTCTAAAAAACGTAGGCAAGGTCCTGATCTCCGTGCGGATTTATAAGCAACGTAATCACTGAGGCGAGACGGTCTGCATGGTCCGTATATTAAAGGGTTCGGTACAAAAGCAACACCACTGTTTCTTAATAATCTTGGTTGTTTTCCGAATGTTTGAACCCAAGCAGTGTGTGGGGTATATGTAAGTATTTTCCCGTCTATGGTTATATATTTCTGTTCGAACGTTCTCGGATCCTTTACCTTGGTCGCTATTCTTATTGTTTTTCGTGCTACCTGATCTATCCGTTTTTTCGTGTTTTTGTCTACCGTTGTTTGTAATCCCTTATACCTTACGTTCAACTTATTTTTGACTATTTCTATAGCTTTAGATTTTGCACCTGTGTCTTTCTGTTGTGTTGTTACGTCCGAGTTTGTCAAATCCCGAGGCATTTGTGGCTTTTGGTCTCGTTTGTTGATGGATACTTCATCTTCCGACCATCGTTGTAAGTCATGCATTACCTCAGCGGGTAGGGGCGGCTTGGTAAGGTTCTTGCGATCTAAACATGCATGTTTTGCATTTTCCCAATTCAAATCGTTAGGTGAACTATTAGTTGCTAAGTTTGATAAAGGTGTGTTTGGTTTACGTCCCATGTGGGCCTCAAATGGGGAAATTTTTGTTACGCTATGCGGTGTAATTCTGAGTGTTTTGATAATTTCTGCTACATCTGAAGCAAGTTTGTACGGTGTATTTGTTTTGTCTATTCTCATAACCGCTAATCTACGTTTTAAAGTTTGTATCATTCTCTCGACGACACCTATTGCTCTATGATCATCCACCGGTGAAAATAGCAGCTTAATATTGTTTGTATGACAGAAGAGCTGAAATTTTTTAGCTCTAAATGTTTGTGCTTGATCACACCTTATCCTGCGGGGTACCCCGTTGTTTGAAATGTATCGTTGCATAAATTTAATAGCAATATCTGCTGTTGTGTTTGTTACAACTTTTGCAGTTGGGAATTTTGACCACTTATTTATTGCGACTAAAATAAATGCCTCTTTATTTAGTTCATCCGAAAGGGGTCCTGCAAAATCTAGTTGTACTTCCTCATTTGGTTCACATACTGGTTCCATTTGGAACGAAAGTTTTTTCCTTGATGATTGGTTTTAAATTTTTACCTTAACGTTTGTAGATCTGCAAACTTTTGCAAAATGACCTCGTTTGGCACATTTTGAACAAATCTTATCCTTCGCCGGTTAATATTGCAGGTGATTCTGATTGTATTGATTTCCGCACTTATAGCATTGTTTTGAACTGTTTGTATTGCTATTTCTGTCTTGTCCTCTTGTGTTTTGGGATCCGCGTGGATATGGTCGACCACGGAAACTGCCTCTACCTCTTTGTGAGTTCTGATTATTTGTCGAATTATATCGACCACCCCGATTAATGATATTATGTGTGGGTTCTTGTTTTGGTGTAGTTTGTCCATCGAATGGGTTTATTTTCATAGTTCGACTATGTTCAATTCCTTTTTCTTTTCGAATTGCGTACTCGTATGCGTCTTGTGTTTGTGCTAACAATTCTTCTGCAGTTTTTTCATTGTGCATGTGTGCTGTAAACATGTCTCTAACCCATTCGTCTTCTCTGACTCCGCAATCGGCCCATGATGGCAATTCGACAGAATCTGCATGAAATTGTTCCAGACTTTCCGTTTTCTTTTGTTTACGGCAAATAAAAAATTGTATCGCTCGAACGCTACAATTCTATTGTAACGAAGATATCCTCCAATGTTGTCATAAATTCTTGCGTGGTTTCATTGTGTAAGACTAGGTTAGGTCGTTTTTGCTGAATTTGTCTGTGGCCTTCAGCCCCCAAACAGAGAAAAAGGTAGCTTCGGACCCGTGCGTCTGCTTCGTCCCATCTGTATGAGTTACATAAAACCCCTTTCTCCCGGGCTTTTCTCGTTTTTCTTGATTGCGCACCTCACGGTTTTTCCTTTGTGCGTCAGTTTCGCCCTGTATTTCAATTTCATATACAGGCTCAACAGGGTCTGTGAGTGATGGTTTTGGTCGTAGTAGATTCCGAATTTTTATCTCATCTTTTGCAAATACGGCCATCTCCATTATGGCTGCCCACTTTGTCCATTCGAGTGGTGGTTCGGCCGATGCTCTCTCCCAAAATGGATTGATATTCAGTGGTTTTTTGGAATATCCTGCTGACTGCGCGATGTCATACCGGAGGGTATGATGTTCTAATACTTGAATCCGAATGGATTGATAAACCTTTAATTCTAAGTCGGAGCGAAAGAAACGACTAGTTGACAGATAACATTTATTCAACTCTCTTTTCTTATTGCAGTTAGAGTTCGTTCTCTCTGTCTACCAAGGTCAAGTAACCAGCCATCTAGGCGTTAAACATAAGACTGTTAATAATATAAATAACATACATATAAGGATAGTTTGTCGATCCAGACCGGATGACAGACTCTTAAACAAACAATTCCAGAAAAAAAACGAATTAGTGTCAGAAATTATTAAATGACTGTTCATTTTTGGGCTACATCAATCCTATTAAATCTCATGAATAACATGCACTAACCATTCAGCCGTGCACACTAATACACAAGCAGCAGAAATAAACCAAATACAATGCTAATGCTGCAAAAGTGCCACGATGAGCATTTTTTATTTGCAACTTGTGTTACAAAAAAGTTAAATTCGTGATAGACACAGCGCTAAATTAGCGATGAAAAATCAGTTAGCATGAATCAGCCGAAACGTAGGAGCGAAGCAGAGTACCGCTACACTTGCTAGACAGACATCATATTACATAGAATCAGTACTTCAACAGAAGCAATACTTTACACGGAAGCAAAGTTACAATTTGCAGACAACAGGAGGAAAAAAGAACGGCAGCTTAAGATTGCAAGAAGCAAAAATAAGAATTAAACTGCATTTAAATAGAAACATTTCGAGGCCTACGGGATTTGAAACTGTGACACACAGATGTAGAGTCTAACGTTTTGCCAACTGCACCATATGACCATATGTCCTGGCTATTTTCGAAGCACCAGCCATCAAAAAGCGGATAAAATGCATGAGCAGTAGACAGATAGTTTTGTTCCTTTTGCTGGTGGTAAATTTATACAAAGGCGAGGTGGAGCTTCGCACCACTTGCGATAGAATCGGGAAAAAATAGACAAAACTTGATGTCTGAAAAAAATAAAACTTTGAACTACCG